TTTATCCTGGTTCAGCCACTCCACATGTGACCTACATCTAGTCCTCAATCATAACCTGATCAAGATTTGTTCCACTATCTCAATGAAGAAGTTTTACAAGCATACAACACATGCATATACTCATACATTCAAGATAACTACTTTCTTGTCCCCAAGAAAGCACTTCTTGTAGAAACCCACTACAAGAATTCCTTACCACTTGAGACACCTACTTAAGATTTCCCTTACACAATATAAAGAATTAAGGAACGAATTCACCTGGAAGCTGAACAAATCAGATTGTGAATTCCAAAAGCAAATCTCAATTTTTCTTTCCCAAGAATGTGATGATGATGATGATCTCTTTCAAAGCATTTCAAAAATGTTTTACTTCTTGGTTTCACAAAGAAAACACTCCAAGAAGGTCATAAAGACTTCACAATAACGTTTTTCTCTTTTTGATTGTTAACTCATTCTCTCTGTTCTGAAGTTTCAAAGTGTGAAAACTATTTATAAAATTTTCAGAACCAAATAATTGATTATTTTAAAGGATAATCGATTATTTTGTTCTTCATGATTTCTGGAAATCACTCAAGAACAAAATAATTGATTATTTTGCAGGATAATCGATTATTTCAGAGAGTCCTTCATGGAATAATCGATTATTTCACAAATAATCGATTATTACAGCAAGGCTTCCTTTCACCTGTTGCTGGAATAATCGATTACATTTAATCATAATCAATTATTTTGAGTTAGTTTTCAAAAACTAAGTTTCAAATCTCAAAAAATCTTTCCAAGTATTTAAACCATCATCATACTCACTCTCAGTCAATTTAGATTAAGATTAACTCATGCACAAAGCACACACATGCAAAATAAGCTAAACAAATCAATACAACTTATGAGCTATCCCTATTACACATCATAATAGTCATATCTTCTTCTTGGTTTGTTTATGACTTGTTGATGTCCTTAGTCAGCTTTGATTCTCAGAATCCACCTTTTGTTATCAACAAAACTTTCATACTCCAAGTTTGAGTTGGTTCACTACTCCATGAATCTCAACACCAAGTTACTAGACTGGTTAGCTTGAGTGTAAAAAGGCTAACCATGGTTCTCCTTAAATCATAATTAGCTTAGCTTGCACCATAAGCCATTGTCTCACTATATAAGTCTTTTCCTTCACTTTGTAAACACTTTTGATGCAATCCAATTCTCTTATCGTTTTCATACAAGAGTGTGGTGAGGATTGAAGTGACTAATCTTCCTTCAAGGAGTGGCACTACTTGAGAGTGTTTTTCACCATTGTTGGTGAGTTCCAAAGCTTCATCAACCATTGGAGGCTTTGGAGAAGTTTAAGGAGAACCAAGGAGCCAAAGGTCTAAGGAGAAGGTTGAAGAGGAATCAACTATAATCTAATATCTACTCAAGTTTCCATCACTAGATTAATGTAGTTCTCCTCCAAGTTCATTTGCATGGATCTTTTCCTCTTGGCCTCCTTCTAGCTTGTCCAAAGGCTTCAAAAGGTGTTAGAAGCCTTCTTTAAAAACACATGAAAGGGTAGAGAACCCCTTTGGTGATGCCACACTCAATGGGTGATAAATCCCTCCAAATCTCACCACACTCCAGAGAGGATAAGAGAAATAGAGCAAGTTTTAAGGAGAGAAACAAATTTTGAGAGAGATAATTAGGAAAATGCTTCTAATTCATTAAACTCCAAAGTAATTTTTTCCAATACAAGGAAATACTATATATAGGAGTTTGGTTGGCTTATGGTGCAAGCTAGACTAAGCATGGTCAAGTGTAACCATCGTTAACTACCTTGTACTTAAGCTAAACAACCCTAGTTAAACTTCTAGAGACTTATGGAGCAAGCTAAGCCAATCCTAGTTTAGAAACAACCTAGGTTAGCTTAAGTTAAATCCAACTACCTAACCTAATTATGACAACTATCAAAGCCATGTGACTTATTTAACAACTTGGATGACCTTGTTGACTAGTTTTGGACGTCCAAACCACTTGCTTAGGCAAGTGGATGTCCAATAATCCTAGTGGGTTAGGAAAAGTTTGGGTCATCCAAGCCTAAATAAGTCTATGGATTAAGCTATTTATACCTCCCCTATACTACTTGATACAAAATACAAGGTCAAAAATAACCTATACAATCACTACTAAGAAAAATGTAAAACAATAATAGGTGTCATTTAAAGTAGGATAGGCCTCCAAAGGTAGGTTACCCTACAAAATAAGGGTAAATGCCCTACAATTCTTCAAACCATCTTCATCATCCTTCACCCTTATTGGTTTTATTTCTTCTAAAGGGATCCTTGGGAAGTAGGTTTCAATTAGTGGTAGGGTTGAAAGAGGTGCCATAACAAACTATGGCATTCCTATTAGGATACAAAAGTAACAAAAAAAAATTATTACAGGTATTGACGCCTTCTATTCGGTGTGATGTATCAAGAAGTTGTCAAAGGTACGAATGACTTTTGTTCAATGTGATGCAGCATAGAAGCCATCACAAGCATTAAAAGTTATGGAAAATCCTATGAAGATGAAAACCAAATTCTCCATAAGCTTCTCCTAACTCCACCAATCTTCATCCATGGACTCAATCCTCAAACGAAAAATGATGGAAAGGTTGAGAAAATGGCGTGCTACCTTTAAGAGAAGGATAAGTAAAAATGATGAACTTGCCATAAGGATGAATTCCTTTATAATAGCTCTCCAAAAAGTGAACTATGCTTTCACAGAGAAAATTTTTGAAATCTAATTCTCATTCAACTCAAAAGTGGCATGTACATGGGCTAATTTTAATTTATAGAGTTTGGTAACTTATGGTGCAAGTTAAGCTAACCATGATTACATGTGACATTAGTTAGGTTAACTTGTACTCAATACAACAAACTCTAGTTAATTCAAATTTAAATTTCCCTCCTAAAAATGTCACTATCATAGATTTAAAAGAGCCAATGAGAGCATGTCACATGGCAAGGTGCATAAGATATGACAATATCTTAGATCTAGAAGAGCCAATGGAAGCATGTCACATGACAAGAAGCTAAAAGTGTGACTAGTGTGTGTAACATGTGACTTGGTGGAGTTTGAATGCACCATGCGAGCAAGTGGACCAAAAAGTAGACGTCCACTTTGAGCCTCACAAGCTCATCACTCTTTCATGGGAAACAAGACTTATAAGCATATATCTCACCTATCCTAAAATAATAATTACACCCCTAAAAAATTACAAGGAAATAAATTCTTACACTATTTGACCCAAAAAGACAAGGTCAAAAGTAAGAAAATATTTTAAAAGAAAAATATATACAAAAAAGAGAAAGTAGTGACCCAAAGCTTAATTAGAGCTTAGGTCTTCTTCCTTAAAGCCTAACCCACTCCTTTTGATTTCTTTTGGATTAATCCCTTTGGCATTATTCCATCAGAAGGCTTCTATTTTGTGCAATGCAAGATAGCAATCATCACAGGTATTGGTAGCTTCTGAACATGTCATGATCAATGACAACTCTAAACAACTTCCATTTGGAAGAGGGCTCCCAAGTTTCTTCTTAAGACCAACGACAAAGAAAACTTGCATTGCTTCTTCATTTCCTTCTACGAGAGTTTTTCTTGTCTTCTTCATCTTTGGTTTGTATCTTAAATTTCTCTTTTGATTTATTCATATTTTTAAGCTTAATTAATCATTTTTTTTATTTTTTCTTCCTATTATTGAGTTTGAAATTAATTTTAAAAAATTGTAGAAATTTCTTGATGGAAACCCTAAGAGAGACTAGATTGATGTAACTTCTCCTTCGAGCTTCTTGGATAGATCTTTCACTTCTTGGACTCCTTCAAGCCTCTTCAATGGCTTCCATTTATGTTAGAAACCATTTCTAACATACAAGAGAAGGTAGAAGCTCCCTTAGGTGATGTCGTACTCTTGAAGAGTGATAAGTCTCTTCAATTTCTCACCACAGTTAAGAAAGGATAAGAGAAAAAGAAGAATTTCAAAGAGAGAAACAAGCTTTGAGAGAGAGATTTAGAGAAAGAATTTTGGCCAAATCTCAATATAATGCTCAAAGTTGTGTACAAATGGTCCCAAGCACCAATATATAGAGTTTAGGTAGCTTGGAGAAGTAGCTAGAGTCCTACATAGCTTGGAGAGGAAACTAAACATCTAGGAGACAAGGAGACAGTTAGATCTAGTTCCACGAATCACAAACAAGTTCTAGGAGATATGTTTGGGACATGTAGGAGACAACTGGATCTAGAAGACCCAATAAGCAAGTTCCAAGTGTCTTATTGTCTCTAGGTGGTTGGTGAAGTAGTTTTAAGGGTGGAAGCAAATGAAGGTGGTCCCCAAGGTGTCCTTGGCCATGGCTAGTCTTGGTCGAACCAAAAACCAAGGAATTCGTTTTCTTTGGTCAACCAAACAAAGGTTAAACCAAGCCAAATCAATTCCTAAGGCCATGAGAAGAAATACAAGCCCAATATCACCTTTTGGTTATTTTCACACCTTTACTATTTCCACACCATCTAGAATGGCTATTGCCACACCACTAGAATGACTATTTTCACTCCAACTACTAAACTAAAAAAAAACTAAAAATGGTGACCATGAATACAAGGTCAAAAGGAATACATTTAAATAAGGGACAAGCATTTAAGTCCTAAAGGCATGATCTAAAAACAAGGAAACATACACCCCCAAATACAAGAGTAAAAACAACCGATACACTTAACTACTATATACAAAGGAATGGAAAACAAACTATACAAGGTATATACAATAGAATGTTGAGATTCATGGTAGTGAATCAACTCACCTCTAGCGATTAAAGGTTTTGATGATAACAAAAGTGTGGAACAAGAGGTGTTCACTTGCATTTAATTTGTAACTAGTGCTTCACAATTTTATAGTGTTTTAAGGTCAAATTTTTAAGCACTCATTCTTTTGTTTTTTTCTCATGCATTTAGAACAAAAACACCTCTGTTTTGCCTCCTTCCGAAATTTGAATAATATGGAAGCAGCACTCAACTTGTACAAGGAGATGATAAATAATAAGATTCCACTTGACTTGCAAATATATACCTCACTGATTGGTGGATTTCTAAAAGAGGGGAAATTAAATTTTGCCATAGATCTTTACTCAGATATGCTTTCCAGGGGTATTGTGCTTGATATGTTCATGTACACTGTTTTGATAAATGGACTCTGTAACAATGGACAACTAGAAAATGCGGGCAAGATTCTAAAGGAAATGGATGGGAATAATATAACTCCTTCTGTTCTTCTTTATAACACTTTAATTGCTGGACATTTTAAGGAGGGGAATCTGCAGGAGGCTTTTAGACTGCATGACGAGATGCTTGACAAAGGTCTTGTGCCTGATGACACTACATACGATATTCTTGTAAATGGAAAGTTGAAAAGATCATACGCTCCAGTTGGTGCTTAATCCACACAAAAGGATTCTCGGCAGCACACATTCTTGTAATTGATTTTAGACTGCATCGTGAACGAGTCACTTATAGATGGGAAAATAAATGCATCGTGGCATATATATATGCATGTAGTATAAATATTAATTGGGTTTTTCATGCAAAGAATGCCAAGAAGATGTGATTTTAACAATTCATGTTTTAGTTTATATGTTTGGATTTGCATGTTACTGAAGTAATGTTTTATTTGTGGGTTTTGCTTTCTAACCCCCTTTTAAAAGTGTTTCTATAAAGTATAATTGGTATCTATAAATACTACAATATCATGGCATTTTCTTCTAAGACATTTTTCTGTCTCTGTTTTGGTTATTTTTGGAATGTTTTATTTAGGTAAAGGCATTCCTTAGAGGCGAGCCTCTACTCTTTACTGCTGGTAAGCTTGAAGGGATTGCAGCTGTTGTAAATGAGAATGTTAGAACAGTGAGGAAACTCAGCAGCATTAGTCTTCGGTATTGGATTTTAGAATATTACGAAGACAACCTAAAGAGAGAACATATCGTGCATTGGTCCTTAAATTTATGAAGGATCGAATTGCAGCACTATTGTTGGTTGAGGTAAGGACTAGGAAACTGATGGTTCCTGTTATATAATCTGTTTGGCATTCCATGATTGTCCCAGTACGAAATCTCGATGTATAAAACATCCAAGATGACCTAGATGCCTAAAAACAGCTGCATCTGTGGTTAGTTAGGGATGCCTTTACCTTTTCAGACCAGAGGTGAAATGTAATGTCGATCATGTTATTAATCTGGGGGGAATACAACATAATGATTATAGGGAGGCCACTTTAGTGATCAAATTATACTGGGAAGAATACAACATAATGATTTTAGGAATACAACATAATGATTAATAAAAAAAAAAAATAACTTTATTAAATTTTGGCTGTTCTTAGAATCATTATTTATGCCAGTGCACAATTTTCTCAAGGTTGTTTTGTTTGAAGGTAATTTCTATAGTTTGATAAAAATATTTTCCGTGGAAAAATGATTCTTAGAAGTTAGAAAGAACTGATAGATAACTCATAATCCAAGTAATACAGATATTAAAATTGGTATTATAATATTTCTCAACCTTCTTGTCAGTCTCTTGTCTTAAATGGCTATGTTTAGTCATCAGAGGTGTTGCTTTTATTAGTGTCTTGCCCCATGTTTAATGTGGTCAAAAGTTGTAAATTGTGATATCTTATTATTTTGAATTCATAATGTGATTTTGGTTTGCAGGTTGGGTTTCAAGCTTCTGCCTGGATCTCTGTTGGAACGCAGATAGGGGATGAAGTAATAGGTAAGGTGGTAGAAGCACATCCACGTGATGATATAATTTTTCTGAAGGAGGTAGTAAAAGAGTGAGCTAAGGTACGATTTTGAATAGAGTTTTTCAATATTCAACGATTTATTCCAAAGGGTAAATCATCTCTCTGCATCCCTAGCCTTCAAAGCTTGGCTGCTTGTAGGAAGAGAGTTCACACTTCACTGTCAGAATCACATCATTTGAAACTTTGTTAAGATGTTCAAATCCTGATGTGTCATTTCTGGCAGAGAAATTTAAGGAAGTTAGGCAAGTGTCTATATGGCCTTGCATGTTACACGGCCCTGCCAAGTTGCCATATTTGTGAATCCAATATTCTTTATCTGTCATCTTCTGAAGCATAAAAAGAGATGCATCCTTTCTGAAGTTCCTATGTTTCAAGTGCTTCTGAAATGACCATATTTCTTCATTTATGACCTCTATTTGTTTATCAACATGTTTAATTTTGGTCTCAAGTGCCTGCTTTCTCTTCCTCATGTCCATTAACTCATCACAAATAATCTAACGAACAAAAAAGTTATGAGTTAGTCATTCAAAAGTAAGAAGAAATGTTTTTCTCAACCAAGAACCAATGTGTAATTAATATTGAATACCTTCACTTGGTTTCTGATGCTTTCTTTTAATTGTGCTGACTTTTTAGTTATGTCCAAATTGAAAAATGTTCTTTTTTCATGTTATTTTGCTACTTAGGTTTTTGTTCTGTTTCCAGGATAAATGTTAGTGAGAATGTGAGATCTTGTGCTTTCAAACTTTCTAGTAACCTGTAAAACTATTTTCTACAATCGCCTTTCCTACAGTCATGTTTGAAACAACTGCTATGAAAAGGTTTAGTTATGTGGTTCAGTCATGTGCTAGTAACCTGTAAAACTATTTTCTACAATCACCTTTCCTACAGTCATGTGCTTGTAAATTTTTGTGTAAAGCTTGTTCTGGTATTTCCTAGCTTTTCCATTGCTTCAGTAGTCCAGTTATTAATTTTTATTTTATTGATTTAGCAGCATGGGATTGCTCACAAGGTTAAGGAAATGATCACTCTTGTGAAGGTAGTTTAGGAAAGTTTTGGTCACTAAATTAGGTCAAATTTCAAAGTATTATGTAACCAAGTCTTTCCTGAGTCAATGTTTGATCCTTAAGCAAGGATTTGAGGCCACTTCCAGCACAGAATTTTTAATCAAAGAAAACAAGACAAGCAACAAAAGCACAATTTAAAAAGCTTATACCAAAATTAAAGAGTAAGGTGTTTAAGACAAGACTCAAAGATTAGCCAAAAATTAAAAAGAAGCTAGCACACAAAGGATAACCTATCAAAGGCACTAGAGTAGATTACAAAACCAAATCTAAGATTAAAACAAAAATAAGACACAAATATGTGGCTGGACTGAAAAAAATAGACAAGGACACACCAAAACCGAGAACTAGGTATACAAGATTTTTCACTCCTTTTGGCTTTTTCTTTTGCTATTTTCTTTCTTTTCTTTTTGCAAAATATTTTTCACTTCTTTTTCTTTGATTAATCAGGAGTCTAAATGCCTTTTTAACACTTATAGGTCTCGGCCTTAGACTAGAAAAACTGCAGCAAAAAGTTTCACACAAAACAAGAGGTGTTCACTTGCATTTAATTTGTAACTAGTGCTTCACAATTTTATAGTGTTTTAAGGTCAAATTTTTAAGCACTCATTCTTTTGTTTTTTTCTCATGCATTTAGAACAAAAACACCTCTGTTTTGCCTCTGTTTTAAGTGTATAAGATTTGTTAAAAGTTTCAGCCACACAATAAGACTCAAGGAAACCTAATAGGAATTAGTGTTTAGTAATTTTTTTGACAAAACTTTTAAAAAGACATAAAGGAAACCTAACTCTAAGAAATTTGCTAGAACTAATAGCAAATCATAAACTCAAATATGTAAAACAAAAGCATATATAGGTAAGGTTCAGATTCAATAAGAAAATATGCAAAAAATTTCGGACACAAACAACACACAAACAAAAACTAGGTTAAACAAGCTATTCAAGGAATTTGTAACATATAAAAACTAAACACAACTTACTAAGACAAAACAAGGATTCAAAAACAAAAATCTAATGCAATGGATGAATTCCAATCACGGACACATGCTAGGAAATGAGAGACTCAAACAAAAAAAAAAAGAAGCACAAGCAAATAGGTCATAAACATATTGATTGTGAAAGAAAATTAAAATACAATCAATCAATGGATCTATGGATAGAAATTTTTTCAAAAAATAAAATAGATCCGAAATGAAACTCAAACAAGACACATAAGAACACAAAGACA